GGGAAAGTGGTGCCTGTCATACCCGGGTAGTTGACCCAACAAGCCTGCGGCCTCCTGTGGGGAGCTGGAGGGGGGGTCGCGGGGGGGGGGGTGAGGCGACCCTGACGTCCCCTTCCTTGGCTCAGGCCCGGCCGGTTTCTGGCCTCGTGAGGCAGTGTTTCTCTTGAGCGTTCCCAGCCCCTCTCTTTCGTCCACCTGGGCGTTCCAGCGCTCCCGACTAGGGAGAGAGGGTTCCCCACACCCCTTCGCAGCCGGGTCCCCACAAACCTGGATCCATCTCCTCGACCCGCGGCTCCCGCTGCCAGGGGCTCCCCGGCGCTGTCGGGGCGCTGCCCTTGGCGGCGGCTGCTGCCTTCAGCTCCTTATCGGTGCTGCCCAGGCGGGCGTCGCGGGGCTGGCTGTGGGGCTCGCCCCCTCCGCCCGGAGCCGGGGCTGTGGGGACGCCCGCGTCTTTCCCTGCGGCCGCCGGATCTGAGAAAGCGGAGGAGACAGCGCTGGCGGAGTCCGGGGGAAGCCCAGCTGGATCCCGGGACCACGCGCGGGGGACCGCGCGCCCCTCTATCACTGGAAGCCCGTGGCTCGGGGACCTGGTTTCCCGGGAGGTCCAGTGCCACCAGTGGCGGCCCAGTCCTGGGGCTGAGCGCCTATCCCCCGAGGCGAAGGGTCTCCTCCCGGGGCTTTCCTTGCCAGGGCCTCGGGTTCCGGCCCGACGGATGAGTCAGAGTCCCCCGGCTCCCTCCGTCGGACCAGCTCCTCACCCCGCGGGGCTCCCAGGGGAAGAGGCGTCCACTTGCGTAAAAATCCCGGAACTTGAGCGGACATCGCGGGGCCCGAAGTTCAGGGCGAGGATTCCCGCCGGGAGCCAGCCCAGTCGTCGCGTCCCCTGCCCCCAGCTCCAGAGCGCCCCCCAAGGGCCACGCTCCGCCGCGCCGCGCACCGCGCTCGTGGGAGCAGCGCCCGGATCGGACGAGCGCCGAGCCCGAGCCGGACCGTCAGCCGCCGCCTGCGCTCGCCTGAGCGCCGAGTGGGCGCGAGAACC